GTGCCTTAGGATGACCTTATTCTGATTTGTTCATTAATTTACTATTTTCAGCTACTATTTACTATTTTTTTTTTTATTTTTGGTAAACAACAATTATTTTTGATTCTTCTTAAAAACTACCAGCCCAATAGACCATTGTCCATTCACTGCAAGATACCACATAATGCGTGAAATAAAACTAAAATAACGTGATAGACAAGGGTCATAGCCTAAGATTTAACTGTATGGGAAAGTTTCCATGTGATGTTCAAATGCTACAAGCACATTTTACAGGATAATTTGACATGTAACCATGGCAACATCTAGCAGGTGGTACTTGTAACAAAACTTAAGGATTATTTGTCTAACGTCTGTAAACAAAAACAAGTGCACGGCAAAGTTAAAAATGCTTAGACATCCAAACTTTGAAAGGCCCTGCGTTTTATTTATTAGGAATTTATTTTTTTAACTTCTTGAAGTTGAACAAAAACAAGCTGGGAGCACAGCCAAGTTAAGAATGCTTATGAAGTATGTGCTTTGAAAGGCACTGTATTTTATTTATTTATTCAGGTTTAGTAGTGGGTGCTTAGCCAATTTGAACACTCAATTCAGTTATTGCTCTTGGTATTCAACACTACAAACATAATAATAATCTTGGATTTGTTAACCAAATAACCAACACCCCTTGACTGTATATTATGTCTATTTTGTTAAGGAATGCAAGCATTTGATGAGCAAAAAAACAGGGACTATTTATTTATGTTTGGTATGCCGCTTTGGAGACTTATCGCCCAAATTGGGGAGGGGGTCCCACGATTTTTATTGTGCGATGGGGAAAAAACATTTAGTCTCCTGGTTTGAAGGGAAAAACTGAGGCTTTCTTTACACAAGACGAAGCTTAAGTCATCAGAATGGCCTAGTATTTTGCTTTTATTCAAAATACCCTATGAACCCTGGGTAATGATACATTTTGACCCCCAGATACAGTTATTTGACTAAGTGAGTATAAAGCATTACCTCCCTCAGACAGAGGTCTACCAACCTTTGTATATTACCATTGTTCATTTTTCTAGACAACATATGATATCATTAATCAACCATTTTATAACAGCTGAGATTATTTTAATTGAAAAGTAATATGTGATCTAGGTAAAGGCCTCGACACTCGTAATATATGCGAACTCTTAGAATTATATGTATGTTAATTCTACCACATGTCGGCCAAATACAATGGTACAATAACCTCTGAATAACATCGACAGAACACATGTATTTAATTGTGAATTATAAAACTACTTATTTTCTCAGTAGAATGTGAAATATTTTTCTTTCCATGATGATATGTACCATGCTTATTCAGATTTCTTCCCAGAAATTTTAACTACTGTGACTGTAAAAATGTGCATACTAATTTGCATAACATTTACATTATTTTTGTAAATCGTAATTGTGGATGATTACCCTACTCAGTGTGCAGTGTTCACAATTATTTATTTACAAAACTGTTACAACTAAAGTTGTAAGTTTTCAGCAAATTGTAAATTTGATTTAAAAAGTCAGCAATGCCACTGTGGCACTCAGGACAAAGTTTGTAGCAGAGACGAACCAGATTGGTCATAGCACTGTGGTGGTACCACCATGCTGTTTATCTTCTGTTAAATTGGACTAGGTGAAAACTTTTCAATCTTTTTAACGAATTTGAAAGGGTGGATATTCAATTGAAAGAGCTACTGTAGCCTACTTGTATGAGAGGTCTTTACTTGGCCTACTTTAAATGCCGTTGGGATAAGAGTTGAAAGGGTTAGAATTACCGACATGTTTGCACGCAATCCGAGATTATGGATGAAATCTCAAAAGTTAAACAAAGTCATACAGTGTTTCATTTCTACTTCAGATCCACGGTACTTGCGCCACTCTTAAATCAAAACTGAAATTGTAAATGCAAATCCTTTCAATGGTTGTGGAATTAATCACATTTCTGAAAATTATCTACAAATGAAGAAACAAACTTTCATTCCTTCCTTTATTAGAAGCGCATTCATTCATCTAAGTGAAAAAGCCTATAGTAAACTTTTCACTGCCTCTTCAAATGTCTCTCCTTCCTCAAAATAGTTCTTTTCAAAATCTTTTTCCATAAAAGATGCCAAAAAATACATTATTAACAACATACATTGTCGACTTCCAAAAAACTTCATTAAAAAATATTATATTGATTGAAATAAAAACTCTGTATGGATATTTGTGTTGATAAACATTGTTTTTCTCATAATCCAATGTGCTCTTCAAATGGAAATCACAAGTACAAGGTTTAACCTGGGCTTGACTTGCACTACATACCGCCAGTGACTCCTTCGATACCTTCCAATCACCTAAAAATTACCTAATTAAAGCATGGAAACATCTCAGTTTGTACAAAGTCGCCATCTTTGATTATGCGAGACCCATACATCTTGCACATGCGTGGTGCGACGACTACTGTCTTTTAAAATTAGATACAAGTAACTCCTCCTAAAGTTCAGATGGCTCACCCCTCATTCATTGGTTAACTAAGCAGTGGTATGTTAATGAGGCACAGGCGGCTATTCATATATCACAGTCTACATACAAGTACATCGTTGTGGTATGCACCACTCATAAAAAAAATTCCAGACTGTAAAACCAGAAGTAATGGCCATTTACTCTACTTGACTGATTTCTATTCATGTAATATTTGATGATAAAACTAAATGATGCGGATCTGATGTTGTTTTAAAATCAGTCTGTTATCAATATAATACCACAGATACATTGGGGTTTGCAACGCGCATAGTACTGTATGGTGACATCATGTCAAGATCCCATTCAAGTCTCATCTCGTAGATAGCGAGACTAACGCTACGACCTTCTGACATGACATAGGCGTTTTGTATTAAATAAAACAATAAAACATGTAATTACCAAATTCATAGTGAAAAAATGTAATACATCGAAAATGTACAGAAAATATAGATATCGTAATCCGTCATATTGTGAGCAGCTATTTTGATCCACCTGGACATCTCAGTATCCTAGCTACCTCGGGCTTGGGCATTCGCATTTTTCTGAGTTGGAACGCTTATGCAAGAGCGAGATTGAAACAGGATCTTGGTATCATGTCACCGTAGTTGCAAACCCCATGTAATGTACCTCTGATAATACTTATGATTGCAAAGATTATTTTGTTTAGGAGACACTGTTTTTACCTTGTACTTAGCACCAAAAACTAAACAAAATAATCATTGGTAGGGACAGCATCAACAATTTACCGAATCGTCACTTGGAACAAAAAAAAATATTTTTAAAAAGTAAAAGATAAATCACAAATTTGCCTATAGAGGGCAGTCATACAATTCCTGACAGTTTCTGTGCAATCGGTTATCGGTTAAAACTTAAAACAAAATTTATGAAGTGTGTAAAACTTATCTTTCACCTTTTGACTACCAGACTTTTGCACCAAAAGTTGACACAGAGGAGCTGTTTATATTACTGATTGTCCATCGTCAACTTTACAATTTCAACTTCTTCTTGTAATTTTTGGTAAAAAGTGATATTTTCGACTTCTTGTTAAAAACCGCAAGTCCAATTGCTTTGATATTATATATATAGGTGCTACATGTGGACCTCTCAGATTTGTTCATTTCGTGACGATATCTTTAATTCTCTAATTTTGGTGAATATTTTTGTAATTTTTGGTAAAAAGTGATATTTTCGACTTCTTGTTAAAAACCGCAAGTCCAATTGCTTTGATATTATATATATAGGTGCTACATGTGGACCTCTCAGATTTGTTCATTTCGTGACGATATCTTTAATTCTCTAATTTTGGTGAATATTTTTGTAATTTTTGGTAAAAAGTGATATTTTCGACTTCTTGTTGAAAACCGCAAGTCCAATTGCTTTGATATTACATATATAGGTGCTACATGTGGACCTCTCAGATTTGTTCATTTTGTAATGATATCTTTAATTCTCTAATTTCGGTGAATATTTTTGTCGTTTTTGGTAAAAAGTGATATTTTCGACTTCTTGTTAAAAACTGCAAGTCCGATTGCTTTGATATTATACATATAGGTACTACAGGTAGACCTCTTGTAGATTTGTTCATTTTCTAATGATATCTTCAGTTCTTAATTGAAATGTGCATTGATAACAAAGAAGCTATATCAGCATCTTTGATTTTTCAACCATTGAAACATTATTAGTTAATAGTTTATAGTTGGAGGGTAGAGTATATACACTCTGATGTGATTGGGGGGGGGTTCTTGTAACCCTTGAGGTTGATAGCTGTATCTTCTTCATATTTAGTTATTTACAAGTTGGACTCAGTAAGGCAATGTTTTTTTTTTGTATCTGGGTAGTCTTAGCTGGTCTTTAGTCTTTGTTGAGTACTGCTATTTTAGTTGTATTACTCCAGGTTTTTTTGTATACTATTCAAAATTTCATATCCATGAACACTAACACTCGCATAGTGATTGCATTGCTGTGTGGCTTATGTACTTGTACAATAGTGCATAGTCTACTCCAACACTTTGAGTAGGTGTGTTGAATTTCAAAGTTTGGAACATACTTTTGTATTTATGTACTTGTACAATAGTGCATAGTCTACTCCAACACTTTGAGTAGGTGTGTTGAATTTCAAAGTTTGCAACATACTTTATTCCATGTATATATAAGTTTGTACCATTTTGTTTTTTCAATTGATGAAATATTCATATCTCTTAGTAGTTGGGATGTTGAAGAGAGCTTATTTTGCATGTGTACCTTCTAAGACTTCAAGTTTCTGGATTTGCCCTTTCTTTAAAAGAGCCCCAAAGTTGTGAATAGTAGTTGGTACCAGCCGACTGAATTCTGAAGTACCAGTAGATAAACACTGATCGGGAAGAAATATTTTCAGTGCTTTTTATTTTTGCTCATAAATCACTGATCAAGCTGCAAACTACATTAGTACAAAACTGAAAATGGCAAACATATAAAAAAAATGAGTTATTTTTTGTTCTTGTCAGATCTATGTGCGAAGGTAAAGTGCAAGAAACCACCAGGCTCCATGTGTACTGTCGTAGAAAAAAACGGTGAACCGTCTACTACGTGTAGCTGTCCAACCGAATGCTCAGATGAGTACGAGCCAGTCTGCAGTGTATTTGGTCGTGAATATGATAACAGATGCAAGTTGCATCTGCAGGCGTGTAGCAAGCGAAAGCATATAGCAGTTGCTTTTGAAGGAAAATGTATTGGTGAGTTTCCATCATTAAACACAATAGTTAGTTTTTCGGAAATAATTTCATCACTGTGCATTTCTTGGATTCCCTCGTCTATCTATGCATCTATCTGCACCCATGTTCTAAGATATGCTCAAATTGATCCCGTTTGAACTTCATAGATATATCATACTGTAAAACCATATATTTTCAGACATTTAGTTTTATCGCTTTAAAATACTTTATTTTCGCTTAGAATTAATTTTCGCTATTTTCTGAATGATTCAGAGAAAATAAAATCCAGCGAATATGCCTATGCCAAAACACCAAAAAAGTCTTTTCAGTGGAAATTAAATCCAGCTAAAATAAAGTATTTAACAGTTTTTTTGAGCATATTCACTGGGTTTTAAGTTGTACGAGTTGTATTGATGTTTTAAATTTTCATGTGGATTTAATTTAGCTCCCTTTTTATTTAAATTAGCAAAATTTAAAAACTCAGCGAATAATTAATACATTTACAGTACATCTTTATTGGGATATATAATTATACATGTGCATATGTTTTTTAATCTGATTTAAGATAGCTGAATGGCGATCATTTTATTGCTAAAATCATCAAAATCAATTCCGGAACAATTTTTGTTAATGATCCAATTCAAAATGGCCATTGAAATTTTAAAAATTCACCAACATCACGCAATTTTGCCATTTGACTGGATCTGCCTAATAAACATTAAGGCAGGACGCTTGATAGTGCTGTATTCTATGTTGTATGTTTATTTTCTTTATTGGTAAGTTGACATCATTCATTTTGTTAGCTTCCTCATATGACATCATCATTTCTTGGGTATCCTGTCACTCATTTATATAATGTGACATCATCATTTCTTGGGTATCCTGTCACTCATTTATATAATGTGACATCATCATTTCTTGGGTATCCTGTCACTCATTTATATAATGTGCATTTTTCAGCTTCTCAGGAACCCTGCTCAGCTGATGAGTATATGCAGTTCCCTCATCGTCTGTTGCTATGGTTTGTACATTTGAAGGAAATCGATGAATTTGGAAGCATTCATCCGGACAGTTCACTAAGGACAATGGATGTAGCTGAAAGAGAAGAAATTGCCAAGGTAAAATGTTAGCTGTTTTGCTCATGACATCAGTTCTTGTGTGTCTTGTCATCTTCTTCATGTGACATCATCAATTCATGTCCATTTTATCAAATTCTTTATGTTACATCATCATTTCTTGTATAGCTTATCAATTCTGTGAATTACGTTAAGAATGAATTTGGGATTAGTTTGGATACTTTCAATATCTGTTATAATCTTTTTTTCCTTTTAGTGCTTAGGAACAATTTTTTAGCTTACTTTGGCATAGTAATTTTTTGTTAAAACAAATTTCGTACTGTGACCAGTGCTTCTGTCATACTTACCGTACATTTTTTTCACCATATCAGACATTGTGTGTATAAGTAGTGGGGTCAAAATACAAAAGTTTAATTTTACACAAGAATTTTTTTTCTTTCTCTCTCTCTCTCTCTCTCTCTCTCTCTCTCTCTCTCTCTCTCTCTCTCTAGTGGAAATTTGATTTGCTTGATCGTAAAGGTGATGGTAAATTGGACCGCCGTGATCTGCGTGATTTCCGTTATGCGCTAATGCCTTTGGAACACTGTGCTGATGAGTTTTTTAAGTCATGTGATGTGGACAATAATGTTAAGTTAACACTGGATGAATGGTACGACTGTCTGAAGGTCTCTTCAGGTAAATTCAGGGGTGAATTCAAGTTATTGTTAAAAAATGAAAGGTATTTCATGTAGCCCAATCAATCTGTCTGAAAGAAGATGTATTGTAAGAGTTTTGTGTCATCTTCAAATTCCCAGGTCTCTGAGACCAACTCTAATAAGAGATCTTGTTCTTGCGATTGCTTCAGAGTATATTATTCAACCAATCAAAGAAGATGCATGCGTAAACACTCTTTCATTAATAGTGGTGTTATTAATATTTATTTTGATTTTTTTTTGCAGAATCTTATGAAGATAGTGATGAACTGTAAGAAACTTGCGTCTTCTGCATCCATGTTACTATGGCAATTGAATCAACAGTAGCCACCTGTCTTAGGGATGTGCCAATAATTCTGGCGAGGTGACTCAATCAAAGTCCAGAAACGTCAATTCGCACAGAATCTGCATATAAAACTCTCTGTGAGAGAAGTTGCACACTATTTAGCACAAAAAAAGAAAACTATCCCAAAAATTTCTGACCAAATCACCACATCAGAATTTTTGGTCCAGCCCTTACAAGGATCACAAGCATCACCATCCATGGTTGCCTAGTAACAATACATTTTATTATAATCTTTTTTTTTTACATAAACAAATTTTAAAAGCACAAAGGATGAAATTTTTTCTGTTGATTTATGAGAATAATAAACCCAATTCTGAAATATTCTTTTATTCATCAAACACAAATCACAATATATAGTGAGCTATCCCATAATACATTGTTTGATATTTTTTTTTTGAGAATCATGCACTTTTTACACATCAAAATCTTAAATTGCAATGTATCATGGGATAGTCTTATCTGCTGTGGCTGTTATACAAAGTCTTTACTATTTGAGTAGTATATGTGTTGATCCTGTATGTGAATGGCATTCTGAAAGTTGTCTCATTTTTATGTGACAAATGAAATAATGTTAAACTCTTGCTTATACAATCAAAATGAGATAATGGGAATGTACATAATAGTCTGAAGCAAAAAATGTAAGTTGTGCGATTCTCTGTGTATTCATCATTGAGGGAGCCATTTTTTTCACATCATGAGTGAAACGGACCCCGAGAATATTGTCTACATCACTTGTAACCATGGCAATGAGTAAAGAGAAAATGTTTTTTTCCCAATTTGGTCAGGTGAATGACATGATTGACACAGTGCATATAAAGAGCAGCATCATTAGGTTTTTGGTGTGCGGTATCTACCTCCAGTTTTTTCGAAGGTTGCACTCATGGGGTTGCACTCCGGTATATTCAGACAATAATTAACATCATAATTTCAGTATTACATTTTGTTTAAAACACACACAAACATGTTTTGGTTCAATGTTTGTTTTATTGTTTACTTACTGTAGTACACCCGGTGTATGAATTCAATTTGATAGTAACTGTGAATTTATACTATGAAGCTGAAGCTGGACCAGGTTTCGGATTTTCATTCATTGTTTAAATGCAGTATTTCAAAAAAAAATACAAATCTTGTACGAGTTTCTGAAATCTGAAACAATGCATGAAAATAACATCCTAAATTACAGCGCTACTGTCAGTTAAAATTTGAAAATAAACGAAGCACGGGGGCCAACTTCAGCATCATTTTGCTATTGTTTGTATCTTGTATAATGCAATCTTAACTAAAATCAAGGATCAGAAACTGATTATAATGGACAGTTCATATTTGACACTGTCAATATATATACACATAATCACTTGGTTATTTTATTTTGCTTTTTTATACTATATATACTGTATACATATATTTTTTCCAGTTCTTTTTACTTTACATATACTATAAGTATCATTTTAATGATGGCTTATACACTGACCAAATGGTGCTAGGTTGAAGCTATTTATTTTTTAAAATAAATGCTTTTTACTTTAAATCAAATACTCTTTGTTTGACTTTACTTTAATATCGCCCTCTAGTGGTGCTTGTAGTATCTTTTGTTTTTATGCAAATTGTATAATCATTTTAAAGAGCTGTAATCAATAAAAATAACCTGTACAAGCATTGCTGCATATATATATTTTTTGAAAATGTTTTTTTAGTCTTTTTATCATCATGAAAGTACATTTTCAGTTTACAATTCTTAAACCTTTAGGTTTGTAAAGATTAGCATTCGCAGAATAACATTTGCATGGTTTCGTTTTGATGTAGTTTTATAATCTCAATAAAATTTGTCTTTTAACAATTTTTTTTTGTCTCTGGTTCTTGTGTTGGAATAGTTTAAATGTATTAAAGAAATTAAATGTTTTTTGTTGACATAAACAGTTACCGCTACCCCCTCCAAACTTTTGTGGTGTTCTTTGATGCATCGTACATAGAAAAAAAAGTTCCCTTGAAAATGTTCTTACTATGTTTGAGGAAATATTTTGTAAAAGAAAATTCACATTTTAAGAGTTAAAAAACATTTTTGTTTGCACACTCAGAAGACAGTTGCATACAATCTTACCGGTAATTATTTCTTCTTGAAAAATCTCGCAACTTTATTCTGAGGTTTTCATTTTGATTCAAGATTCCTACAATATCCTTCCTGTTAGAGGGCACACTGCTCTTTCTATTTGTTGCCATCTTTGCAGCGGTTTCCAAGGACACCGTGACTGCATTTCAAAAGCATGTACCAATAGTTGTCCATATGTTCCATGCGAGATATTCGCCAAAAAAAACTTCTGGTGAGGGTGTCCCCCCAAAAAAAACAACAACTTTTAGGTTGATTTTCGTTTTTCACTTATTTTGCCTCTAATGCCCTATTGACGATTTGATGAAATTTGTGCCCTGACAAATATTTTAGCCCCCACAAAACTCCAATATTTGATTTGGGGATATCCAATCTATGGTTTGGGTGCACTTTTATACAAATTTTAGTTTTTTACAAAATTTTTACAATTATTTTCAAAATATGAATGTTTTTTTGTGTGAAATAAACCTGAACCTCTTATGAATTTGAAATGAAATTAATATCATTTGACCAATCACAATGCCTTTGTTGATTATCCATCAGTCTTGAATTCAACAGTGGTACCGGTATGGCATTTGAACTGTCAAGATAAATTCCTGGATCACCTGAAAATGTATTCATTTTCCTATTTAATATTGTCCGCTAAGCTATAGTGACAATACTGCTTTGATACTTAAATGTTCTATGTCACAAAATCTATTGTAAATTCCAACAAACAAAATTTTGGGAGTGGTGACTGCACCTCAAAGCCCAAAATATTCAGGTTTTCTTTAAATAAACTGGGAGGGGTGATGACTTTAATGCTGTAAAGTAAATTTATTTTCGCTGAAAGAATGAATAAGTGAATATAAAACCTATGTTCCTAATATTGAAAATCAAAAAAAATAAATGGCCAAAATGCTTTTTCTGCGAAAACTAATTATTTTAAAAGTATTTTACAGTAAATCATATAACACCAGAGGGACATTACTAAATTAAATAACGTGCTTGAAACAACAAATGATACACAAGGGTAAAAAGCTGCCATTTATAAACTTTGTAAATTTGTAAATACTGATCATCAGCTTTCAAAATTTAAAACCATACCCCATTATAATTCAAATGGTGATTCTGTATATCCCATCAGATACCAAATTGTCAAATTTATTCAAGTATAGGTTGAATCTACTTGTAAATAAAAGTATATGTACTAAAACACGGGTAAATACATGGAAATTAAAAAAACTGACCTCGTCCCCCGGCTCCATCCTTGCCAGGCAAACCTGATATTGGACCTAAAGGCAAGCAAATCTATATCCCATTCTAGATCAAAAAGCTAAAAATTACGACCTCCAAAGGGTGGCACATCCCCATAATGAGATTTGCATTAAGTGCGGGTATTTTATGTCCTACCGATACTCCTGATGCAAACCTATGCAACCGATTGAATCTGTTGGTGAGGATAGGTGCAAGTGTGGAAAAATAGAATTGCTTGACAGTTAATATACTATGGTATCGGTACAGTAAAACATAATTTACATATAGAATAAAAAAAAATCACATTGTACATTGTTATATTGCCAGCATCATGACCAATGCAAGTATCCAGTCCCCTGAGGGAACGTACACAAACAAAAGTAAGGTACCGGTAATATCCAAAAGAGCAAAAGACTTTACAACAAATCTAAAATGCAAAAAAAAGCAAAATTTGAAAGGATAAAGTTTTCACAACTGGAGAGAATTTCAATCAATTAATAGATCATCAATATTGAAATTGACAATGAAATAGGTAATCTTTGTAAAATCATGGATTTTACATAGTTTTTCTTCTCTTATCCCTGAATGTCTGCCAAATTCAACCGGCAAGAAATATGCAGATATTTTTTTATTTGTAATGTACCTTTTTCAAAATCATATTTATCATTCCTAATTTTTTGTATAAGTTTAATTTGTTGTTGCTCTGTATATAGAAAACTATTTTCTATAATGGCGGCATTATTAGTTTGCTGACAGTAAAGTGATGTACCCAATGCATCTGATATCAAAGCCTCCACTAAACAAGCGCCCTCATCAAGTACCCATGTGCGAGGTAAGTCACGTGACTGTATTTACCACAAGACGCTATCTGAACGAAACGAAATTAAATATGCAGATGTCTTTTGAACAGCATAACGGGGATTTTGCCCAGGTAAGTTAACTATTATACCAATATATGACATCCGCACATCATACGACGCTTTTTCATTCTATTGTTATAAATTCGTCCGTGATTGATATAACGTTTTACGTGCAGAAATTAGATTTGCCTGTCAGGTTTTTTTCCTTTTGTGAACGCCATTTTGGATTTAGAAAATCTACACAAGTTTCTGGAATGTTTCGGCTCGAATTGTTATATTTGCTTGTTTTTATAAATGTTCACGAGTTTTTTAATCGTTTTAGATAGATCTTAACCTGATAGTCATGATGCCGACTGATTTAAACTATTATTTGGAAGGGATCAGACATGCTAATCCGGCGATGGTATTTTAATTTATTCATTCACTGACTGACTGAATGAATCATCGACGTTAGATGAGCACATGTAAATATTATTACAACAGTTGCCAAAAAAATGTTTATCGTTCAGTTATTAACTATATTCGATTACGTGTCGCTTTAGATAGATACAATAAGTGCCCTCGAGTCAGTAGATGTAAATTCCACACAATATGTGAAATGTTTGTGTCCACTTTTTCCTCGTGTTGGCGTAAAATGAAATGTTTTAATTTATTGCGATGTCTATCGAGCAGGAAAGTATTTCGTGTCGTGCAGTGCTTGGACTTTGAATTGAGAGATCCTATTTTGAAGACAAAATTTAATTAAAAAAATATTTTAGTAACATATTGGAAATCTATTTTTTAGGGCAAATTTTTTGGACATCAAGGCAATTGCGTTTGATTTCTCCATGAAGTTTAAGCTCTATGGGAAACCTTCTCTACTGCTGTAAATTTTGCAAAACAATGTCTCCAGATTTGACCTATATTTTGTAGTTTATGTCACAGAAAATGTCTACGAAATGAGCATTTAGTGTTCATATTGAGTGTGTTGAATTATAAAATCCTGACTGGGTGTAGCTGTATTGTTGGATACACCTTAGTTAATTATTGGATTTTTCTATTTCTATCACACGATTCATACCACATAATTCCAAGTATTGTTATCAAATCATTTTAGTAACAATTTTATCGTTGTGAACTGACTGCTATTCCAATTTCATATTGTAACAAATTGTGTTTCTGCTATTTTTTTATTTCCTTGTCTCTAACTAAAAGATATATATGCGATATTTGCCGTGCAAGATGGGCGAAATAACTGCTCAGGAAAACGCCTGGACTGTGGTCTTCTTGTTGTTCCATGGTAAACGGTGGTATGCGGAATGATGATATGTTTTAAAGTGTGCGAGATGAAACAATACAGTTGAGAGCAGTGTGTTGAATATTTATACATGTTACTAGGAATTTGGTTGTAAACTGGAGATTTTTAAATTTCCTGTCAGCAGAGCATGTAGTTTTGATTGTTGATATTTTTGTCTCTCTTACGTCCTACATGTTTATCTTTTGTAATTTTAAACAATTTAAGAGTGTTACTTTCTAGTTCTTTTTTTAATGATCCTATGGTAAATGCAGATGTAGTTGTATATAAATTAATTTAACTGAAATTTATTCAATTTTATCGCATTCCTTGTAACTTACCCGACTGTTGTGTTACAGATGTTGGCAGCGGCTGGTGTTGGTGATATTGGTGAACCAGAGGCAAAGATGATCAAACTGGAAGACGGTATGAAAGGTAACTATACAGTAGCATAAATTTGTTTACATGATTGTTGTCAGTCTTTGTGCCAGTTATGTCAGTTCTCTTGCACTTGACATGAAACCACACCAACATTGTAAGGTTTTCAATCTTCATGTAAAAACGCCTTTCCTTTGCACCCCTACCATTGTTAAGTATTGTATGACATTGTCTAACCTATGTTTGGTTAGACCAGTGTCTGTACCATACTTTTGTTATATGTATTAATTTTTTGACTGATAATTGGTTAGCATTATATGTTTTTTGACTTAACCCAGGCTTATTTTGTTTATCAACATCACTAACGTTTGTATGATGTTGCTCAGTTTGTATAACCCGTTGAAAGTCCTCTTTTATTTGTGCTATGATTTTGGTGCGTCATTTTACAATTTTTTTCTACAATTTATTGTTGAGTTTAGATCAAATTGGTTTGAATTGAAATTTAGAATAAATATAAAAACAAATGATGCAGCTTTACTTAGTGAAAGGTGCCAAAAGTTGACTTCAAGGGGTGAATACTACATGGTTTCCTATCATTAGCAAAAGCGTCATTCCCAATCACTGACATGCAATTGTTAATTATGTTTTTCTTTCTTTTTCTTTTTTTTTGTCTTTCTGTGCATTTTTTCTTAAGTTATAGATTTGAAGGATGCAGTTTCCCGAGAATCGCAACTTGCTATGGTACATTGTGCCTGCTGAGGCCACCCCTCCAATCACCATGAGGCAACATTGTTATTACACGTTTATGTTAGTTTACAAGAGTATTATTGACTCCCCATTGTTTACATAGACAATCTCAAAGATTTGTTTTTCTCGGTATTATTGTGTTGTACGAAGGTTTTAATTCAACTGCTATTTTTGCAAATACTTCAGTAAAATCATTGTTCTTTGGCCTTTCACATATTCGGACATTTTAGCAAAATTGATAATGTAATATTTCATGGAGGTTTTACTAGTGATGATGCCTGTAGATTTTTTCTTGTCCCTGGTTTGAACGCTTTTATTTTGTCCTTTGCGAAAACTTCTTGTCTGTAATAACTAAATCATAAATCAAAGTAACATAATGCTTTCAGACTAGGGATGAGTTGTGGTCTGCACTTCTTCTCAGAATTTGTATCCAAGTACGACCAGTGATTGAACTTTTTGTTGTGCTTGTTTTCATTGTTAGACGTGGAATGGCCTTGTTTTATTTAGAAACGTAGAGAGCATGTATCAAGTTGAGTGGAACCAGGACTATCCTCCCCATCAATTTTAGTATTACAGAGAATTTAAGGTTATTATTTAGAAAGATGACTGTACTTGTATACTGTAAAATGACTAATTTTCCCTGGGTTTAAATTTCACTGATTTAGCATTTCAGTCATATTCAGCGGGTTTTAAATTCACGGTTTCGTCATTTAGATAATGTGTTCTATGCTAAATTTTACATATTCACTGTGTTTTAATTTAGCGCATTTTTCCAGTCAGCGAAATAAGCTAAATTAAAACCCAGTGAATAATTACCCCCTTTACAGTATTTGAAATTACATGGTTGGGTTCTTTTGATAGTTATTTATTCAAAACTACATCCATGTAGATAAAGTGTTCATAAATTACGTTAAATGAGTTAGAGTCCAATAATTGTCCACTCAACTTGACCCAAAGCCGTGAATAAAATCATTGGAAAAGAAAATTACAATCTTGGTAGAATATTACCTAGATCAGAGTCAACCTCTGGCAGAGATCTATTATGTTGTTTTTTACTAAGTCGCTAAAAGTAATCCACTAAACAGGTCATATACAGGGATGAGAATTTTCCACGGATTTCTAAGCCCCAGGGATCGATTTTCTGAAAGATCTAAATCCGAAAAGAAAAATTTATGGGGGTGTCACAAAGAATAGAAATCTTGTTCATTCACCAGAAGTAAATGCGCGTCATTGTTGCTGCAAGAGGCCTGTATCAGTGTATGGTCGACGTGAGACAACTCACGGTGTCTCCAATGCGGAATGTTCGCGACTCTTTTCATCAGTGCAATCGTAAAATCCAAAGTGGTTTCAAAGTGTTCGAAGTAATATCTAACACGATTGACTGGGTTCGCTCTGACTGGCCAATCAGTGAAGAGCTTTCATTTTTCTTTTCATCATTGGCACCATTTTATTGTTTCAATTGTTAGCTGCATTGGATCGTTGTTTACAAGTTTCATGCAGCGATAATGGTGAAATTGGTTACTAAAGACAATGAGTCAGCTGTGCGAGAGATCGATAAAGACATTAGGAACAAATTTCGTTGGGCATGGTTTGACAAGGAAGTGACTTTGACCATGCAAATCGGGAAGAAAGATGAAGTGGTAACTAAAAAATTGAGTGACTTCATCGGCAAGTGCGCGGTCACGGGAAAGGCACAATGTCTGTTTGTTTTGATCAACTACGGTTCTTGGACCCCGACTACTTTACTTTCAGCTGAAAATTAAAATTCTCATTCTCATCCCTGCATATATCTAGCTGGCATGACTTAGTAATCCACAACTGCACCCACTCCCACCTTTCATTACAGTATTCTACAGATTGGCCTAACCGACATACACCCATTGTACTAACCATTCATGTTTTTCCCCCCCAACCTATTCTCTTTTTTTTTCTGTGTGTTTTTATGCATTGATCTAGTTATTAAGAAGGAGGAAACATGAATGAAAAAACAGGCGAACATGGTCTACAAATCTAGTTTGCAACTAGCCTTCCTAAAATAGGCTAAACAACAAATGCCATGACACTCTTGGTAAACTTATATAAGTTGGTTGAATAACTATATATCAATGCTGCACTACCTAGTCTTGTTTTGCATATCGTTTATTGAATAATAGGTTTTTTGTAACATTTCTGGTGTTAATGGGTATTTAACCTTGTATTTGGGAATGAAGCATGGTCTATGTGATTTATCATTCAAGTTGGTTGGCAGTGCTTCATTCACATATCCACTGTCAGTGCGAGGATATCTTAAAATTCTAGATGTCGCTTTTCGGCGTTTCACATGAATATTTTTGTACAAAGTCGGAGTCATATTTGTGTGTGAATGGAGTATCTATTACCATGGAAACAAACTAACACTGTTTGCTTCATTTACAGATCCAAACTTCTCAAGGAGAAGCCCCTCTCCAATGCCAGTTTTTGCTGAACAAAATGGGCCTGTGTTGGCGGGTCCAGGTGCCAAGAAAGATGGTCCACATGGGTTACCTAGGTTGACTGAAGGACAGCAGGATTTCTTGACAAAAGCCAAAAAATATGCAATGGAACAAAGTATCAAGAGTGTGCTGGTGAAACAAACACTCGCTCATCAACAGCAGGTTTGTTAAACTTTTTTTTCTTTTTTTTATGAGCTCTACTGTCATCCAAGATGACAGAGCAAAGCCTTACATATAAGTGATTGTTCGTCATCCTGCATCAAAGTCAACAAACAATTGCTTTGTTACTTAATATGTAGGTACCATGGTGGACCTCTATCAGATTTAATATTTTGGTGACGATATCTTCAATTTACTATTTTTAGAAAATATTTTTGTCAGTTTACTCAAAAATACTTTGACCTTTTTTCAAAAACTACCAGCTCAATTGCTTTGATATTTGGTATGCATGTTCATTTTGTGATGATGCCTTCAATTCTCTATTTTTAGCAAACGTATTTGTCATTTTGGGTTAAAAAATTATCATCTTCTAAGCAAAAAAACCCAGCTAGTAAATAAGCTGCCTACGTTTTTTATGTCCACATCCCCAGAGCTACTCATTGAATTCTGAATTTCACACACTTTCATTGTTGGTATGCCATATTTTAATAAAATGATTTTAAAATCAATCTCGTCAACAAAGTGCATTTCTAACTTTTCCACAGCAAATGACAAATTTACAAATGGCAGCTCAGAGGCAGCGTGCGTTAGCTTTGATGTGCCGTGTTTATGTGGGATCCATCAATTTTGAACTAAGAGAAGACACCATCAAGCAAGCATTTCTTCCATTTGGTCCAATCAAGAACATCAATCTGTCTTGGGATCCAGTTACAATGAAACATAAAGGTTTTGCTTTTGTTGAGTATGATTTACCAGAAGCAGCTCAGTTGGCATTAGAACAGATGAATGGTGTTATGATTGGTGGACGTAATATCAAGGTAATACACTTAACATTTTGATGAAATTATTGTTTCCACAGATAGACAAATAAATAGAAAAAAAATGATCAATGGGCGATGTGTTTACCATTCAGAATGCCATAGAAGACCTTTCATCTGGCATTCCATAGCAGCTTGCACAGAGCTCATAGAAATATATGTACAGTGGTGCCCATTCAAGAAATAAAAGTTTTGTGACGTTATTCCATCCACAAGAATTTGAATCACATAGGCACTATTGAAAGGTACCTAGGCTAATTTGAATGGCAGAAAGGCAATTGCCTTCAATGACTCTGTGAGATTCAAGTCCAAAACCCACTGTCTTAAACTCTGTAAATTGATTTTTATCGTTGCTATGTAGGTGGGACGTCCTAGCAACATGCCTCAAGCACAGCCTATTATTGATCAAGTGATGGAGGAAGCGAAGCAGTACAATAGGATATATGTTGCATCAGTTCATCACGATCTGTCAGAAGAGGATATCAAAAGGTAATTATGAAAAACAGGCTGTAAATGTTCTTTGCACATCAAAATAATGTGGACTTTCAAAAAGTTGATAGACCTGTCATAAAAAAAAACGAAGCAGCCCATGAACTGTAGAACCTGTATTAGATGCTGCATCCCTAATAGAAGTTGCACCCATTCTTTTTGAACAATTGAGAACCAAAAACTTCACCTTATTTCATATGTGTAGATAGAAGCTACATCCCCTCTGTTACATTGTACCATTTTAATAGAAACCGCAGCTTTTAATACAGACTTTACAGTACCGGTAATTTATTGCCAGATTTTTATTGAGCATTGCAATAGTTTATCACCTTAGCCAACATAAATATCAAACCAGACTGTTGACTGGCTAACTAACTAACATTAATACGTTGTCAACTACTGCTAACTAGTTTAATTGGTACCACATTGTAGGAATTGATTGTAAATTGCACACTGGCTCAGTCACTCAGGAAATCCATTTTCTTGCCGTCTTCTCATTATACAGTTTGTTTTTTTCAGCGTTTTTGAAGCCTTTGGCAAAATAAAGATGTGTATGCTATCAACTGATTCTATTCCATCCAAACATAAGTAAGTACACCAAAAAACAGCGTTCTGTAATTAACAGGGATTGCGCAAATCTCAGATTCTGCTTCTCACACCTTCAATATCAGAGAGGAACAAGAATGGATGGATTCTATCTGTGATAAATAGTCACAGAACATATTGTCATTTCTACATTGGCTTGCTTAACGCGTTACCTGCTGAAAGCCTCCACATCAGCAGGCAATGTAATAAAACAATCTCAGTAGCTTTTACTACTAATACTGCCTTGCCCCATTACAAAGTCTTAAAGGTAACTGAATTCTCAATGCATTTCCCACCTCTGATGTATCTGGCTTCTCTTTACTGATGTGATGAGAAATCGAATAAATTTCTCATTGTTACAATAAAAAACCTCACTAGATTAATAAATTAATCAGGTTCTATAGGAGGATACCAGTTTAAATTGATCTAAACTGCAGTGTTTGTGTACCGTATTTGTGCTATTGGAGACATATTTAAATCAAAAATTTTATTTTATTAGATGTAGATCATTAAAGTACAACTGATTTTGCTATTGCTATTGATTGATACAGTATCAATAATCAATGTTCATACCTATTGGTTCTTATTATATTTGAATGTCATTATTGCTCATTTTTGTTCTGTAGGGGCTATGGTTTCATAGAGTATGAGAGAAACCAATCTGCACAAGATGCAATAGCTTCTATGAATTTATTTGACTTAGGTGGACAGTACCTAAGGGTTGGAAGGGTAAGATATTTACAGTTAAATTCATCTCAACTGACCAGACTCCTTTTTAGCTCCGCTGTCGACTTTGTCGAGCAGAGCTTATCATATGAGTGATTGTCCGTCGTCGTCCTGTTGTCCGTCGTCGTCCGTGTCAATGTTTTACTTTTTGACTTCTTCTTGAAAACTACAAGCCTGAATGCTTTGATACTTGGTGTATATGTACCTTGGGTAGACCTCTTTTAGGTTTGTTCATTTCATGTTGATATCTTCAATTCTCTATTTTTGGTGAATATTTTTGTCATTTTTGGTAAAAAGTGATATTTTCGACTTCTTGTTAAAAACCGCAAGTCCGATTGCTTTGATATTACATATATAGGTACTACATGTGGACCTCTCTCAGATTTGTTCATTTTGTGATGATATCTTCAATTCTCTAATGTTGGTGAATATTTTTGTAATTTTTGGTAAAAAGTGATATTTTCGACTTCTTGTTAAAAACCGCAAGTCCGATTGCTTTGATATTACATATATAGGTACTACATGTGGACCTCTCTCAGATTTGTTCATTTTGTGATGATGTCTTCAATTCTCTAATTTTAGTGAATATTTTTGTAATTTTTGGTAAAAAGTGATATTTTCGACTTCTTGTTAAAAACTGTCTGATTGCTTTGATACTATACATATTGTTCATTTTCTAATGATGTCTTCAGTTCTTTAATTGAAATGTGCATTGCTAACAGCGGAGCTATCTCAGCCGATAGGCTGCTTGTTTGTATTTTCTCTACACTTTCAATCACATTCTGCTTAGTGCATGTTAAGCAGTATGCCCTCTAGGCCAAGATGAAGTGTCATTGACACACAAATTTCTCTTGACCTATCTAGTTACACTCCTTTCCTGATGTGTCATTTACTAAATTAAAAAAAATTGTACATTGAAATGGGTAATGTACTGTAGATAAAATTCATAATTTAAAATCAAGATAAGTGCATATAAAGGAAATCAGATACCACAACATTTGTGTTTGGACCTTTAGAAGTTACATACAGTCGTGTATATCATCTTGTTTGTTTTTTCTAATGACCTCTTCTAATGTCAAGAAGCTGACCAAATTTAATTTTGGAGATTTTAACTTGAGATTCCTACCAAATAAAAACACACACGTGTAGTGGATTACAATAAATAATATAAATAATTGGTTAAGTAAGTTTTGGGCTTGATTCTACCATGGCTGCAAATATTTGCAAAACAATGACTTGCCAAACAATTTGACCAACATTTTTTGCTTGCTATTACCCAATTGTTGGTTTGTGTTATGGTATAACCTGTATGAACCAAAATAACAAATGCAGTGTTCTCCCCAGGCTCAGAGGCAAGCATGGCGGTCGAATTTGCATGCTAATTTGCATACTAATTTGCATATTTGTCAGGATTCACTCTCACAAAAACAAACATACAAGACAGTATTAAAATGTATGAGAGACTTTATTTAAATTACATAATACTTTACATAATATACCATAATTTGACAAGATCGTCATTTAATGTGAACTGTTCCATAAAACTTAGTCTAAACTAATCCTTCTGACTTTGTTGTGCTCCAAACATT